CTGCGCTGGGGAAGCGCCGGCCGGGGGCGCAGGGTCTGGAGGCTGCCCGGCAAACTGTGAAGCCGGTAGCGCTCGGGCAGCCCTTTCCGCGTGGCTGAGAGTGGGAGGGAGGAGGGAGCGGAGTTAGGGCGGGGTGGGGGCGGGGAAGGGGCGGAGTTGGGGCAGGGCTGGGGGTGGGAAATGGGCGGGGCCAGGACCCCGTGAAGGGTCCTCTTTTTTTATTTATTAGGTATGGTAACCCTAATTTACCTCCATTAACATTGTGCAGATGGATGTCATTGTGCTATTTAATTTAATTAATGTCTTCAGTTTCCTTTGATTGCCTTTGTCAATTTTTATTTTGCCTCTCAATCCAGCACCCTAGTGCTTTTTTACAAGTCACACTTGCGTGTAGAACTTGGTTCCCAAACATTTCACAGGCCAGATTTTTCAAATGTTGAAAGTACCTATTTTCTTTTGAAAATCCTACTTTTTTTGCGACCAGGGGCTGCTAACAGGGAGTTTCGCAAGGGAGTTCTCCAGGTGAAGGAGGAGCAAATACAGGACCCTTGGGGTAAGTGACTGTCTGTAGTGTGTGTTTGTTTGTGTTTGGGGGTTACTTGCTGTGTGCTGAGCTTGTGTTTGTCAGTCTGTTTGTTTGGTTGTTTGAAGGACCCTGTGCTGTGGCTGGCAGTTGGAAGCTGTGAACTTCAAAGGAAGAGCTGAAGGCTAGAAGCCTCTGGTAATTGGCTGAGCCTTAATCAGTGGGCGGGGCATTCACCCAGGCCAGGGCTTTATAAAGCAGCGCACAAGTGACCAGGGGCTGCTAACAAGTTTCGCAAGGGAGTTTGGAAGGGGATCAGGAAGGGAGCACGGGTCCCTTGCCGGTTCTATCTTATACCCTTTATTCCCCTTAAAACCTATAGCCCAAAGTACATTCAGAACTTCTTGCTTTAAACAACCCCTTCGTTAACTAGGAGAAAATGCAGGCAGAAGCCCAGCTGCAGAGTGGGGGCTATCCAGTTTATTGCACTGAGTGTAGCATGTATGATTACCTGCCTCGTGGGTGGGTGGCGTATGTGTGCATTCGGTGCAAGGAGCTCCTGGCCCTCAGAGACCACGTACGGACTCTGGAGGCAAGGGTGGTGGAACTGGAGGAGCTAAGGGAGGCAGAGAGGTATGTTGATGAGGCTTTCCGGGACACTGTAGAATTGTCCCATCTCCGGTCAGACAGCCCCTGCGCTTTTAAGGAGGATGAAAGGCCCAGGGAAGCAGAGCAGTCAACGGGAGCAGAGGGGAACCTTCCCATAGTTGGGACCCTCCTTCCATATGGTGCTGGGGTTGCCTCTCGCACTGAGGTTACCTCTCCGGGGGAGGGAACTCCAGTTGCTAGGAAAAGGCAGGTATTAGTATTGGGACATTCGATCATTAGAAACGTAGACATCTGGGTTTGTGATGACCAGGAGAACCGTATGGTGACTTGCCTGCCTGGTGCGAAAGTTGCAGATCTCTCGAGGCATCTAGACAGACTTATGTGTAGTGCTGGGGAGGAGCTGGTGGTCGTGGTACATGTAGGTACCAGTGACATAGGGAAGGGTAGGAGAGATATCCTGGAGGCCAAATTTAGGCTGCTAGGGAAGAGACTGAAATCCAGGACCTCTATATCGGCCTTCTGAAAAAATATGCATCAATCTAACCCGGTCATTCAGAAACCGCTCTGAATCTTCT